GTGGACCACCACGGCACGGCCATTGACCTTCTCAGCAGGGAAGCCTGTTGTGACGCTCAGGTCGTTCACCTTCGACGGCATGGAACCCTCGATCACGTAGCGGATGTCCATCCAAGGGTCTTCTGCGTAGAGGTCCTTGTTCCAGAAGTGGCCACCAATAGCATCAGCATCGGAACAGGTCATGCCCTCATGGATGTGAACTCCACAGCAGTTGGCTGCAGTGCATGTGGACTTATCGCACCGGGGGTCGAGGCCTTGCGTGAACAGCCAACTGAGTGTCTGCGTCTCATCATCCGATTCCACCTCTGGGTGAGAGCAGCAATCGCTACAATCAAGTCAAACCTGTCCATGCCATGTGCCTATACCGCCTACTTGCATGTCAAATACACGTGTCAGGCCTTCACACCACCGGATGTCAACGGCAAGTCACCCCCATAGTTCGGGTACTCCTCGAAGACGGTAGTCGTGGACTCCTGCACAAGTTTGTTTAGCACGAGAGCACCTGCACTGCGTATGACAGGGTCTGGACTTGCACAGCTTGGGGATACAAGACTATCTATAATTATCTATGTATATATATATATGTGTATATATATATATATATTATAGGTTTACATGCGAGGGTGCAAGCGAAATACAAGAGGACCAGTAGCTGCCGGCTTCTCATGTGAAAAACTGCCACATGACATTTGACATGTTGTCCTCGATGACGCCGCAGGCGATGCGCGCGCCGGTCTTGTCGTGGATCACCACTGTCCGGCCCAGCAGATCGCTGCGGCCGAGGCCGGTGTCGACCTCCACGAAGAGGACGTTGGCAGGGTCCGTGCTGGAGTCGTATTTCACCGACAGCCACGGGTCCTCTCCGTCACCGTCCCAATAGTGTGCGCCCGCACTTTCGCCGCAGCTCATGCCTGCAAGGCTCCGAGAAGCAAGAATCAACTTCAACATATGTCCGAGCCCTGCTGCTGAGATCTGCTGGGAAGGAAACATGTCGCGTAAATGTTGCAGGCCAAGTCTCGGGAGTGATGAGTGAGGTTACTTCAGCTTCGGATTGGCGGAGAATGTGGAGCTTAGGGGCACGGGCCGGGCATCATAGCTAGTCCTAGCAACTTGGTGAGGACAGGACCACAGCAGAGGCATGCGCCTACAAAGAACGGCTTCGCGGGCCTTCGTGAATGTGGATACCACAGCAGTTGGTTGAGGTGCACTTGCTGCTGCAACCGGGGTCGAGGCCAGTCAAGCTCCAAGACAACACCGTCTTGCTGTCGTCCGTGGACTTCACCTCGATCACTCCCTGTGGCTGATAAGGCGAGGAGGAACCGACGTAGGGGCTCAAGTCGAAGACGTACAAGTCATCACCGTCCACGGGCTCTTGCTCCTCTTCTGGCAGCTCGATGATGGCGCAACCAATCCGAACACCGTCGTAGTCGTGGACCACCACGGCCCGGCCGTCGATGTC